AATGCAACATCTTCTGCGCTATCATAATTGTAGTCCCCATCTTCACTATCATCAGATGATAGACTTAAGTCATCATACACTGCAGGAACCTCATCAACTCCAACATTACCTCGTTCCCCTTCAGCACTCCCTTTTTCAACTCCAACGGTATGATCATCCACTGCAGGAACCTCATCAACTCTAATAGCAGTGGCTTCATCAACCCTAACATTGGCTCCATCAACCCTAACTTCACCTTTCACAACTTCTTCATGTAGTTTACTAAGTAACTCCTCTACCTCACCTACAACTTCAGCAGGGTCCTCATCAACTTTATCAACAACAGCATCACAATATTCAGGTTGAGACAATGTGTGTTCAATATAAATATCAACAGTTTGGTGCACCCTATACAAATCTGCAATTTCTAAAGCACCATTGTCATCAACAAGTCGGTTCATCCCAAATTGAGGGTCCTTGTAAAATATTGTTTCAAACTCCCTGTAACCTAGGTCTTTCAATACACCAACTAGCTCAAAATAACTCCATCTGTCGACATCTACCCTCAAATCATCTACTACTCCATTCTCATATACATTACGACCTTTGTTTGTGAACTCACCACTATGATGAATTTTCAGAGTAATGTATTCTTCCATGATACCTGGGCATACCATGTAAGTAATTAACGTTTAAACTAACAAATTTATATAAACCCTAAATCTGTTTGAACCTCACCTGAAAAACCCTAAATCAGAGAGATGAACTAACCTTTCGAGATTGGCTCTTGAATCGTCTGCTTCTCTTCAATCGTTTTCTTTTTCTTCTTCGTTCTTCGTTCTTCTTCAATCGTTCTTCGTTTTCTGCTTCTTCGTTTTTCTTCAATCGTTCTTCGTTTTCTGCTTCTTCGTTTTTCTTCGTTTTCTTCGTTTTCTTCTTCTTTTTCTTCTTGTCTTTTCTTCTTCTTCGTTTTCGTTTTCCTTTTCTTTTTCGTTTTGCCTTTTCCTCTTCTTCGTTTCCCTCTTCACTTCCACCGGACTTCCACCTCAACACTCCATTCCACCTCAGCACTCCACATGACAATTTTTTCAAAACCAAACTAACAACAACTAACGGAAGGATAAACGTGACACATTTTTAAAAGTTAAATGACCAATTTGACACTTTTTAAAGATAAGAGACCAAAGTGGACCCCGAGCTAATGTTAAGGGACCAAAAGGGCTATTTTGCCTATAATTTAAGTATTATTTAATTATTATATTCTAATAATTATTATGTGAGCATATATATTTTAATTATATTAGTTATTTATTAAAATTAAGAGTCTTAATTGATTAATTGGTCAAATAAATTTAAAAGATTAATTAAAATTTTATTTAGTAATTAATTAATTAATCAATTAGATATGAACTCAAATATTAGTGGATGTCAGGATGGTCTATTTGTGAATAATGAGAACCCTAATTGGTCATCACATTATATATAGGCTATGATCCCCAATATACCATACACAAACAAATTAGGCCGTCACACACTATATATATATAGGTTATGATTCCCAATGTTCAAGGCATTAGGAGTACTGAAGAGGGCATTAGAAGTACCATTAGGAGTACCAGTTGAGGAAGAATCATACAAGTTGTTAGCCTTTTACCTTTTTAGGATTATTGCCAACAAAACTTTCTCAATAGATATAGATATTTCTACAATTTTTTCTCTCATATACTAACATGTTGTAGTTCATGTAATTACATATGTTCCTATTATCTATTCTATTTCTATTCTATTTCGCATTAAAATATATGACATAATATGAAGAATATGTATATGTGAGTAATTGTTATTGAATAAATTTCAACAAGGGGTATCAGGACAAGTCTCCATGTTTAGTTTATTGTGATTTGTCCTCTAAACATCAATATATGTTTTAAGAGGCATAAGTTTTTTTCAAAATTTTTTTGTTACACTTACTTAAATTTAAAAAAAGTTTTGAATTTGACATAGAAACTATGTGATAAAGATTTGTTTGAAAATTAAAATTTGAATATTTTTTAAAAGATAAATATTTGTGAAAATTTTGATTTTCTTTGAGAGATATGTTATTTAATAGATATTATGCTAAATATATTTGAAATCAAATGTATGATTATGGTTGATGATTGAAAATCCTAAAATTTATTTTCTTTTAAAAAATTTGATCCTCAACAGTTTATTTAAGTTTATAAATAATATATTTAGAAATATATGTTCGTGCCAATTATTTGGAAAAAATAAATATTAAATTTAAATCTTATTTTGGTGATTTGTTTCTTGATTTTGAATTTTAAAAAAAAGTTTTATTATGAAATCTTTTATTTGATTTTTTAATTATTGTTTTATCTTTCAATTTTATTCACATAAAATCTACACATGAATTTAAAATTTTGAGAGATAAAACAAATACTATTTTGTTTAATATATATTTAATTATTATATATTATTTGTAGAAATTTTTTGAATGTTTTAAATGTCTCTCAAAATCATAAGATAAATTTAAAGATTTGATTCTTTAAATTCTTGATACTTTAGATTTTAGAATTGATTTTATTGATTCTAAAATAAATTTTTTAACAAATTATTTGGTGCATATATATATATATATATATATATATATATATATATATATATATATATATATATATATATATATATATATATATATATATATATATATATATATATATATATATATATATATATATATATATATATATATATATATATATATATATATATATATATATATATATATATATATATATATATATAATTTGATTATTATATATAATTTATAGGAAGATCAATTACCTCTATATAACACTTAACACTTAATAGTGAATCTCAAAATATTGTGATTCAATTTTGATAAATATTAAATTAAGGTTTTGTCTATTTAAATTTTAGAAAATTTGAATTTTAGATTTATGTTTTATTTATAAGCATGTGAAGATTTGTTTATTTGTTTATTTTTTATTGAAAACTTTGATTCTAGAACCATTGTTCATTTATTTAAATAGTCATTGTGTGTGTCTGTAAATCAATTTTAGCATGAAATAATTTTTTTATATATATAAATATTCAATTTTTATTTGAATTAAAATTGAATATTTAGTTTATAACATGATTATGATGTTTGAATTTTATAGTTATTAAGTGTTTATATATATATATATATATATATATATATATATATATATATATATATATATATATATATATATATATATATATATATATATATATATATATATATATATATATATATATATATATATATATATATATATATATATATATATATATATATATATATATATATATATATATATATATATATATATATATATATATATATATATATATATATATATATATATATATATATATATATATATATATATATATATATATATATATATATATATATATATATATGAAATTCTAGTGTAAATATTAACATAAATATCATAATTAGCTAACAAAATTTTAAATAAAAAATGATATTTAAAATTTACTGTCGATCTTTAAAAAAATGATTGTTTGTCGTATATTTTTTCCACTCTTCCATATCAATATTTTTAACTTTTTTTTAATCATCTTCATTCTTTATCTTTATCTAAAAAAAGTCAAGCCAAGAAAATAATGAGATAAATAGATTGAGAAAAACAGAGAGATTGAAGCAACATAAATGAATGGATATTAACCTTTTCTATTATGGTTATTAACCTCTAAATCAATTAAAGTAGTCAATACCACTCCTTCAATTTTAGAATGTCATTATGTACAAAAACAAAGATTTGTGTTGGTGTTTGGATTAACACATTAAAAAGTTTCATAATTGAAAAAAGAGAGTAGATTAAGGGAAATAATATTTGAACATACCAAAACATGCATGACCAATAATAGCGAGGCATATTTATTCAAATTCCTTGTTAATTATTTGATGTGCTTCATCAAAGAAAGAGGAACAAAGAGATAATAAAAAAGGAATAAACATTTAAAAATCAACTAGTTCTATCATTTAAATCAAAAACATAAAAATGAAACACTAAAGGCACAAATCATTCTGAGCACAATAAGACTCATTTCATAAATAAGTAAATGAGTTCTCATTGAACAAGCAGATTCCACAACAATAATAAAAAATTTTCTTTCCCAAATCTTATAACCTCATTCTCAAATCTTATAACCTTACTCTAGGGCTGCATTGAAAAAAAAATCTTCTTCCTAAAAATCTCATAAGTATAAAAAAAAAATAGAAAATATTCATGAAAAAGAAAAACTATAATAATGAAAATAAATAAGTATGAAAGAAGATTTTTTTTGACTCAGTATTTAGATTTGTTGCTTGAGTGCATTTTTAGTCTAAACGCTTCAATATGTGTAATAGAACGAAAACAAAATTGAAACAAAGATAAAAAATGTAAAAAATATCAAAACTATTTAAGAAAATAACTATTTTAAAAAAAATAATTTAAATAAATGTGTTACCTCTAAATAGCAAAAGAAACATACAAATAAAAATATTAAGATTAGGAATGAAAATTTCTTAGAGAAAGATAAAGTTTGTTGAGGAGGTTATTTAAGACAATTGACAATAAAAAGAAGTTATTTAATTTCTTGCAACATTACAAATAAATGTAGTAGATTGAAAAGAAAAATGTTATAAAAAATTAAGATGATTGATTTGACCAAAAAACCCTGTCTGCAGTAAAGAGAGGGGCAAATTTGTCTTTTCCAAACTATACAATTTTCTTATATTATAAATATAAAAAAATTATTTGAATTTTATAATTTTTTTTAAAGTTAAATACAATAAAAAAAGTTTTGGATTAAAACCTCTTAAAATCCAAACGCCCTAAAACAAATCTAGAACACAAAACAAAATGAACTAGATTACAAAGAGCAACACAAAAAATGAAGAAGAGCACTAGCTTCACAATTCACACATCTCAAACCCCAACATCACAATCATCCTAACTATGGCCACAAATTTTGCTTCAAGGTCCATTTTCTTCTCCCATTCCACCAAGCTCTTAATCTTCCCTTTCAAACCTTCTTCTTCCCACCTCCCCTTTTTTCTTCCTCTCCGTTTCACAAGAACAACCTGCACTTTGCAACATCAACAACACAGACAACCTCAAACTACTCGGAGTGTCATCGGAATCCTCGAAGAAAGAGGCTTACTCGACTCCATAACAAACGATTCTCTCAGAAGCATTTCATCAAACACCATTAACGCACCCCTCAAAGTCTACTGCGGGTTCGACCCTACTGCCGAGAGCTTGCACTTGGGCAACCTATTGGGTCTCATTGTTCTCTCTTGGTTCCGCCGTTCTGGACATAACGTGGTTGCTTTGATCGGCGGAGCCACCGCGCGGGTCGGTGACCCATCTGGGAAAAGCCTTGAAAGACCAGAGCTTGATGTAGAAACCTTGGAGAGGAACACTGTAGGTATTGAAAATATTATTAGAACAATATTGGGTCGTGCTAAAAATCCTAACTTTGAAGATTTGAATGTGAATGGTAATGGTAATGATTCTTCTGTTGTGGTTTTGAATAATTATGATTGGTGGAAAGAGTTTAGTTTGTTGGATTTTCTGAAAAGGGTTGGGAAGTATGCTAGAGTAGGTTCAATGATGGCTAAGGAGAGTGTTAGGAAGAGATTAGAATCTGAACAAGGAATGAGTTATACTGAGTTTACTTATCAGTTATTGCAGGGTTATGATTTCTTGCATTTGTTTCAAAATGAGGGTGTTAATGTTCAAATTGGGGGTAGTGATCAATGGGGCAATATAACTGCTGGAACCGAGTTGATTAGGAAGATATTGCAGGTAGAAGGTGCTACTGCTACCTATGGTTTGACATTTCCTCTTTTGTTGAAAAGTGATGGTACGAAATTCGGTAAATCTGAGGACGGTGCAATTTGGTTGTCTCCATCTTTGTTGTCTCCATATAAGTTTTATCAGTATTTTTTCTCTGTTCCAGATGCTGATGTTATTAGGTTTTTGAAAATTCTTACCTTTTTGGATATTGATGAGATAGTTAAGTTGGAGGAAGAGACGAAGAAACCTGGATATGTGCCTAATACTGCTCAGCGGAGACTTGCCGAAGAAGTTACCCGATTTGTTCATGGTGAAGATGGTTTGAGAGAAGCTCTTAGAGCAACTGAAGCATTGAAGCCAGGATCTGAGACAAAGTTGGATTGGAAAACTATCGAGGGGATTGCGGAGGATGTTCCGTCTTGTTCTTTAGCTTATGATGAGGTTTTGAATCAGTCTTTGGTTGATCTTTCGGTATCTTCGGGTTTGTTCGACAGTAAATCTGCTGTGCGCCGGTTGTTAAAGCAAGGAGGTCTGTACTTGAATAATAGCAGAGTAGATAGTGAAAATAAGAGGATTGAGGCAGCTGATATAGTGGACGGTAAAGTTCTCCTTTTATCTGCAGGAAAAAAGAATAAGGTACTGGTACGAATAGCATGATTGGATTTACTACATGAATATTCTTTGAAGAGTATTTTATTTATTCTATTTGTTTGTTGTATGCTTAGTAAACGCTTGATTTTGGTGGTAATCATTAATATTTAAGTTGCTCATCAAACAAGTGTGTTTATTGGTGTAACTGTTAAGCCAATTTTTCTATTGCTCATATAACTTTCATGACATTTGAAACTTGGTTCCATTATTAATAAACTTTGCAGCTATCTTCTAGACTTGTTTGAAGTTTGGTTGAATAAATTGAAGTTTCTTATTGTCTTTCATCGTGTCTGATATATTGATGTTAAACTTGTATGCTTATATTAAAGCAAGAACAATGAGTGGAAACTTGCATCACATGTCAATATAATCTTATATATATTTATAGAGAAGTTAAATGAAAGAGTTCCTGAAAAAATTGTAATGAGATGCTAATTTCAATTTATACAAGAAGCTGTTGTTTTAAAAAAAAGGTATAGCTATCTCAATATTATTTTGATATTTCTTTTTGCACAAGAAATTCGGTTAGAAGTTTATTCAAAAACATCCTAAATATAATATTGATGTGTTGCAAATGCACTCTCATTGAAGTCTATCCTCACCTTTCTCTTCTGCTGAATGGTCACTCCAACATAAACAAAAGTTATTGTCTGCATTCGAGGACTTTCAGATTATTCTATCTTTCATGGAGGATGCTCTTTCCATCTTTGGTGGTGTCTCCCACATCCTTGAAAATTAGAAAATGCCCTCGTCCGTTCGGAGATACATCTCCGGTCGCATCCAAAATCACATAAATCTTCTCCTTTTTTGAGTTTTATCCCAATTTTTTTAAAAAAAAATATAGTTCGGAGATGCATCTCTGTATATTATTTGGGTGTATTTGGAGATGCATCTCCGTATATTATTTGGGTGTATTTGGAGATGCATTTCCGAAATATCCTCTATTATCATTTATGAGGTTTTGTTATTCATACAAATGATTCAAATAACAATTCAATGATATTTTCGGAGATATATATTCGGAAATGCCCCGCAGAAAAGTTGATAAAACACCACATTGCATGAACTTCTTCTTCATGGTAAAAATATCTCCCATTTTCAAAATCCTTAAAAAACTCTCTCTCATTTTCAACTAACTTTCAACACCAAAACATCATTCTTGTATTTTATCACTTCAAATGGAGGAAAACAAGTTGGAATTGCAGGTAAAAATCATTTATTTCATCTTTCAGTCCTTTTAATCTTGTTTATGAACTGAAAATGGACGTTGAGTTCGGACATGCATCTCCGGATGAAGTTAGGTGTGGTCCAGATGTTCATCTCCGAATTGTCCTGTTAGTTTGAATTTTAACACTGCTTTTTTGTTATCGGTGGTAATAGATATGGTGTACCCAAATATGTTTCCTAAAGCTATTATGAGTGTGGATGTCAAACCGGTCGAAGTGAAGCATGATGTTAAACCTGATGAAGTGAATGATGATGTTCAACAGAATAAAATGAATAATGATGTTAAATCGATTGTTCGACCGGTTGTTGCAGAGGTAGATGTTCCTGCATAATTTACAAATAAAGAAGTGTTTATTGTTCGTGAACATATGCTACAAATGATCCGTAGGGAGACAAGAAAATTGGGGTTTAACGTTGTAATTGGAAGGTCCGACATTGATTCAAATAGAAGACAAACATTTGTAACAATGATATGCGAAAGAAGTGACACATACCCACCAAAGATTATGAAGTTGTAATGAGATGATATTCGATCGAGGAAATGTGAATGCTCGTTTAAATTGTGCAGATACCGTATGAAGGATGAGACATGCAAATTTAATATGATTTTAGGTATACATACTCATGTCTTGAATGACAAGTTAGTCGATCATCCCATTGTATGTCGCCTTGTGCCAGAGGGGAGGGAACTTGTTTCAGACATGACATTAAACATGGTGGCGTCGAAAAACACACTCACATATTTGAAATGAAAAACACCTTTAAATGTTTCAAATATCAAGCAAATATACATTGTGCGTGCTCGAGACAACAAGGCAGTAAGAGGACCAAGATCTGAGATGCAACAACTTTTGAAGCTTTTTAAAGATGACAACTATGTTTCGAGGTACAGAGTTTGTGAGGATAAAGTCACCGTTCGAGATATATTTTGGAGTCATCCCGATTTCGTCAAGTTGTTCAACACTTTTTCCATTGTGCTTATAATAGACTCAACATACAAAACAAACAAGTATAGACTTCTACTCTTGAAAAGTGTTGGTGTTTCTTCTACAGAGATGACTTATTGAGTCGATTTTGTATTTTTAGAATCCAAAAAAGAGGACAACGTTACATGGGCTTTGGAAATGTGCAAGACTATGTTGAAGGACCAAAAAAATATGCCACAAGTCATAATCACCGATCACTACACCATACTGATGAATTCAATTGCAACAATATTTCTTACCCCATCCACATTACTTTGTAAGTATTACATAAACAAAAATGTGAGAAGTCGACTAAAACTTGCACATGACACCAAACAAATCATAGGTGAAGACGAAAAAGTGGTCAAACCCGGAGTCGTGGTGGAAATGTAACACCCTAACCCCGATACTTATATAAAAGAGTCATACGGCAATTAAAGTGTTACCTTAATGAAACACTTAAACAATCATTCAAATATCAGCGAAAAATATTATAAAAATACTATTCAAAACAACATATTTGTTCTCCAAATAAAACAAAATCATTGACTTCTCAATATCATAACAAAAAGTCTCCATAATAATTAAAACAATCGTTCCTAGCAACGATGTTACATAATTAGAGTATAGCCTACTAAGGTAAGCAACGAAAACTAAGGGTGTTCGTGGTGCGGTTTGAGTGGTTTTGACGCTAAAAGTCATCTGAATCGCAAAAAGAAAACACACGCGATTTGGTTCAGTAGACTTTTAGAAATAAAACCGAACCAAATCAATGCAATTTGAATTGGTTTGATTGGTTAGGTTTTCTTACAAGATTTTTATTGAGTTAAGACAACATAATTTTCTGCTTAGTCATTCATATATTACTATATAATAAATTTATAATTGTCAAATAAATTTATAATTTGATGTATAAATATGAATTGTGTGTTACAATTTTATCTTATGTCTAAAGGACAATATACATAAAATTGCATTTTTAAATAAATTTTAAATATTATATTGTGTAGTTATAATAAGTAAGTGCATGAATGTGACTATGCTAGCATGATAACACTATAATTTATTTTTTACTATCAAAATTATATATATATATATATATATATATATATATATATATATATATATATATATATATATATATATATATATATATATATATATATATATATATATATATATATATATATATATGTATGTATGTATGTATGTATGTATGTATGTATGTATGTATGTGTGTGTGTGTATATATATATATATATATATACACACACACACACATATATATATATATATATATATATATATATATATATATATATATATATATATATATATATATATATATATATATATATATATATATATATATATATATATATATATATATATATATATATATATATATATATATATATATATATATATATATATATATATATATATATAGGCGCGCGCGCGCGCACACACACACATATATATATATATATACACAAAAGTAATGTAAATTAAATTTTTTTCTTTTAATTTTATCATCATCAACGTCAACAAATTAAAAATGAAAACAAAAAATAAATATATAGCAATTTCATTTTAAAAAATAATAATTTTGTTTATAAATAAATAATATTTAATTTTTTATTGATAAGTAAATTAAAATAAATATTATATAATAAAATATACACATAGTACTTGTTGATTTTTCTAAAGAACTAAAAATATATATATAATGGTAAGTAAGATTTTGTAACATAATACAATTTGATTTGGTTTGCAAAATATAAACTGCAAATCAAACCAAACCACACGATTTTGTCAGAAAATGACCCAAATACATCCGAATCAAATGTATTTTTTTGCAATTTTTGGTTTGGTTTGATTTAGTTAGCGGTTTTCTATTGGGTTGGTTCGGTTTTGAACACCCCTAACGAAAACTAAGTGGAAATAAACTCCAACGAGCAAATCTTTCACTCACAACAACAACGCCTAATCTTGGTTATTTGCAAGATGTCAATGGTGGACAACATCAAAGCAATTGAGTGAGAATTCACATCAATAATATAAATGACATAAATTGCAAGGTAGAATTACAAACATCTACACATTCAATCACAAACACACCACGTTGCTTTACAACAATATTCTTACACCCAAAACAATAACATACACAATCATAATTACGCATACAACTCATTTATGCAATGAGACTCAACTATGAAATTCGATGCATATACATGCGATACCACCTAAATAATTTGGTTCTCTCAAGAACCGACTCCCCTCTTTAAACCCATGTGCCCCCTCTCTGAGCTTGGGACAAGTCACTAGCCCCCTTTCTGAACTAGCGAACATGCCTCTTGAAACAACTCAATGATGCGTGCTCATATACATCAAGGCATAACATAATCAATGCATGAAGACCCCTCTCTAATCCTAACATAATACACTAATAACTCAAGTAATCCTCTTTCTAGATTATCACACAACATCAATTCATATATGCACAACATAATATAACTTAGCTCAACTTAAGAATATAATAATTCTCTTCATTCTGATTCTTATCTCATACGTAAAACAACACTAGCATCATAATTAACATCTCAAAACATCATGGCAACATTGCAACTCACAACTCATAACTGACACAACATCAAAACTCTCATCAATCACTAATTTCTCAATTAAATGTTTTTAATTGTTACTCCATCTTATCTGAACACAAATAGAGCCTAACAATGCTCAAACAATCTACAAAAGTTAAAATTCAAAATCTGCAACTTAATATCATCAAACAAATATTTACGCCCAATTAAGGCTCATGACTGGTTACCCGTCACGGGCATGGCGCCCGCCATGGACACCACAACACAAACACACCACTTGCGTGACGACCGAATCCAAAGTTGAGCCTGGGCTTCATGACGCGTTACCCGACATGGCCATGACGTCCACCATCGATCTGCAAAATGCAAAATTTCGCTTCTACTACAGAGTTCACATCGGAACTCCGATTTTTCAGTATAGCTACTCAAATCGATAAGAAAATATAGGAAATTAACATATTAACATCATTAGACCTATATTATCAATTAGCAAGCATAATCATCAAGTATTCACCACTTCTATCATGATTCCAAAAACCCTTAAAACTAATCAATTGTGAAAACACATTAACACATCAAAACAAAAATTACCCCACACACATGTACACAAATTTCATCACGAAAAATAGATTACAACACTAATTGAATATCAAATTTCAGATTCACATATAAATACAACAAAACATGCATAATCATACAAAGCCTATTGGAGGTTAAAAACTCCTTAACTCTACCCTTTAAGCATATACTCATTATTGAGTCCATTCTCCCCCTTACATGGTTTTCCTAGCAACAACTTAAATCTGAATTGGTTTGAATGTTTCCCTCTCACTCAAAGTTCCAAGTTCTCTCTTTTCCTCTAGCCTCTTTCTCTCTTTTCCAATTTTGTTTCACGCACTGATAAAAACTCATAAACTTAGGTTATGTTCTTAATTTATATCATTATGGTTAATTTAGTTGAAATTACAAACTCAACTTTCACTTACTAACATCCTCTCTCGTTTATCCCTACTATTTCTCGTAATTCACACTTTGGCCCTAAACCTTCTATTTTCACATCTTAATTAAATAATTCAATTAAAATACTATTATTTAATTATTAAAATAAATTCCAATTATTCTAAATAAATTTCCATAACCTCTACTTACTCTCAACACCTCAACCTCAAGGTCATACACCTTCATCTCCCAGATTAATTCAATTATCACACATAATAATTAAATTAAAATACGATTAAATCAATTAAAATAATAACTAAAAAACTGGAGTGTTACAACTCTCCTCCACTTAAAGAACTTCCGCCCTTGAAAATTACCTTAGGTAAACAGATTCAAATATGACTCCCTCATCTGACTCTCAAGCTCCCGAGTCATGTTTCGACTAGCAGGTCCTCCACAAACTACCTTCACTTTATGTAATCTCTTTACCACACAACTGCTTCATTTCTTGATCCTCTATCCGCATGAGTGATGCCTTAACAGTTATGTTATCTCTCACCTGCACATCATCCACTTGGATCACATGAGACAGATCTGAAATGTATCTTATCATCCGAGACACATGAACCACATCATGAAGATTAGCAAGCGACAATGGTAAAACAATATGATGGGTCACTTCTCCTATCCTCTGCAAAATATGATACGGACCAATGAAACGCGAAGTTAGCTTTTGAGACTTCAAAGCTCGACCAACACCAATTATCGAAGTAACTCTCAGAAACACGTGATTTCCCTCTTAGAACTCAAGTGCTTTCCTTCGCTAGTCATGATAACTCTTATGGTGACTCTGCGAAGCTCTCGTATTCGCTTGGATCACTTTGATATTCTCGGTGGTCAGTTGGACAATCTGTGGCCAAATCACAACATCCTCTACTGACTCATACCAACATAAAGGTGTCCTACACCTTCTACCATACAACGCCTTAAACGGCGCCATTCCAATGCTTGAATAGAAATTGTTGTGTAGGTAAACTCGACCAATGGTAAAAAAAGGCTATCCCAAACACCTCCTTATTCTAGCACACGAACCCTTATTAAGTCTTCTAAGGATTGGATACTTCTCACTGTCTGACCATTTGTCTGCGGGTGATAACCAAAACTCAAACGCAGCTTCGTACCTAAAGCCTTATGCAAAATCTCACAGAACCTTGGTGTAAACCTCATATCCTTGTCAGATACAATACTGGATGGAATCCCATGGAAATTGACAATCTTCTTAATATACAACTTTGGTAGCCTCTCCAATGGATATTTAAATCGATTCGGAGTGAAGTGAGCCGACTTAGTCAACCTATCCACAATAACTCAAATGGTATCATAATTCTTCACTGTCCTTGGCAAACCAGACATAAAATCCATCAAAATATTGTCCCACTTCCATTAAGGAATAGACAACGACTGCATCAGACCCAACAACTTGTAATGTTCAATTTTTTACTTCTGGCAAGTCAAACAAGCATACACAAACTTATCAATCTTCTTCTTCATCATTCCTAGCCAACAAAATAATTTCTTTAAGTCTTGATACATTTTAGTAGCACCGAGATGAATACTCAAGCCACTCATATGATCTTCCTCAAGAATACTCTTCTTAAGTTCGGACACATCTGGTACACAAACTCTATCTCTGAATCTTATCACACCATTTTCTTAATTCTAAAGTTATCACATTGATTTTGATTAATCGACACTAATCAGTCCACTATTCCTAAGTCAATCATCTAATCTTTTCTGGTCTCTTCAAGAATACCATTGGTCAGCTTCAACACGCCCAACATCACACTATCACGAGTCCTTTCACATATCAAACTCAGATCTAGAAATTGTTCAATTAACTCTAACTCTCAAACTATAAGCATCGACACATGTAATGACTTCCTACTCAAAGCATCAACTACAACATGTTGATTTTTTTTTTCTTTCTCCATTTCGCGACATCTTTTTTTCTTTCTTCTTGTGATATGAGTATTTAATACTTTTTTTTTATAATAAGATAAATTGAAAGAAAAAAAGAAGGTCCAAAGATAAAAAAAAGAAGATCAAATTTATATGATTATTGTTTATTTTTCAACTCAATAATATATATATATATATATATATATATATATATATATATATATATATATATATTATACCGTATCAAACAAATTTACTCCTACGAATGCACGAAAGTTATAGTCCTATACTCTATCATTTAAATAATTCGAAAATAAATATACTAAAGAAAATTAATGATTGTCTTTATAAGAAACAAAATAATTATTCATTGGAGTCGAATTTAGAGCCTATAGCCCTACACGTTAACATTATTAAATAAACTGAAAAGAAATACCTTAAAGAAAATTAAGGATTGTCTTTATAAAAAAATAAAGGGTCTTGCTAACCAGTGCCCTCAGGGCACTGTTTAAACATTCTATATTAAGAAATTATTTTTTTAAAAATTCAAACACTTCAATTTCCAAGGCACATTATTACACATCATTGCACATATTTTTATAAAAACTTACTATTTAAAGTTTTAAAAAGTGCCCTGAGGGGCACTCGTTAGCATTTCCCAAAAATAAAATAATTATTTCTCTTTCCTCATTGAAAATAAATATGCTATAGAAAATTAAGGATTGTTTTTATAAAAAAAAAACGGTGTAATACATGACATACGAGAAAATTATGGACTGACTAGCCCACATTAATTATGTGTATTTATTATTGATAAATGAAATCTGATAAAACATTATGGAATAATAGTTAATTAATAAAATTATTATCTCAAGGATATTAGATAACACAATAATTCATTTCAAATTTGATAGAGAAAATTTGTGGTGATTGAGTTTGTGTTTTTTCCTATAATAAAAGATGGAAACATGTTGGATAATTGAGATATTAATACACCTTCACCACATTTATTTTATTATTTAATTTAATAATTTAAAATATAAAATATGTGATTAATATTTTAATATTTTGATTTACGATTATTATTTAACATATTTGAAATATATTTATAAATTTTTTAAGATTCTTTTTGATATTAATTGTATTTTTAACAAAGAAAAAATCTAAAAAATTCAAGCACGCTGTTGAGAATAACACTATCAGAATATTATTACAACACATAATATATCCTTAATTAACTCAAATCCCAGTTTATACACATCCTTCAAAACTAATATTTAACTAATTGATGCGCCAATGAGAGTCTCAACTCAAAATCTTAATGTGTTTGGCAAATTGGTCTTCTCTCCAACATTTCATTCATTTATATACAACGTGAGATTTAAACCACTCACCCAACATATATATATATATATATATATATATATATATATATATATATATATATATATATATATATATATATATATATATATATATATATATATATATATATATATATATATATATATATATATATATATATCATATCTTTTATTTTTATTTATCTTAAATTATTTATCAATATAATATTTTTTTTTTACTTCTATTTTTTTGTATTTTAAATTATATAAACTGTTTTATTATTTATTATTAATAAAGTTATTTTAGAAAGTGTATTTATTTTATTATTAAAATTAACACAATGTAATTTATTATCTTGAAAAATGTAAAACTTAAAAAGAAAAACACTGTAAAACTATGGTAAAACACAGGAATAATTTTTAAAAATTTTTGAAGTTCTATTTTACATGATTTGAATTTGATCAGTCACATACTTATATTTAATCGGTATTTACAAAGCATAGTAATTTGGCGATACAGCAGGAAGAAAGTTGAGAAGGATTAACTTCTAGCTTTTATTTAGTCAATAAAAAAATTTCCACTTTTCCATTCACTCGTTGTGATGACTCAATTGGCACTTTCCAACTCGCTCTCTCTTCATCACAACTTCTTCATTCCCAATTACCGCTCATTCTCTTCCCAATCTCAATTTCTCCTCCTTCACCCTTCTCCATTCGCCAAACCCTTCCTCCGGTTCACTCACGGAATCTCTGAACCGCTTCACCCCCGGTTCATCGTCTCCTCCGTCCATCAACCTGAACCGGAACGGCTTCCTCCACTCAATGCTCAAACGGTATGTACTTGCTCGCCAATACATGATTTTTCTTTTGTTGCGAATTTTATGAATTTGTGTTGTATGCAACAAATATACAATTCTGTTTGCAAAATATGTTAGGGTGTTTTTCTCTTCTATTCACTGGTTTATGAACTTGCTAGCATGTTAGCAATTATGAAAATTCAAGTCAATTTGGATAGTAAAGTTTGAAGTGAAAATAAAAAAAATCACTGGTTGTTATTTCAACCAACTCATTACGTGTATTATATAATTATAATATCCATATGTTATTGTGGTAGGATTTTAATTTAGTAGGATTTTAATTTAGTGGTGAAATCTTGAGGATGCTTTTTCAGCTAGAGAGTTTAAAGAACCGAAGAAACTTTATATTAAGTGATGTACTTGCATTTTTTAACATAGCATGCACATGTAACAGAATATAGTCTCTGAAGTGGGTGTTACTAAGGAGTTAATGGAAGTCTTGCTTTTCTTTTGTAGGAGGATTTGCTCTTGAAATCTCAACAACAAGGTAGTCAGCTTAAGAACAGAGTTGTTTTTGGACTTGGCATTGGGATTTCTGCCGGCGGTATTATTTTAGCTGGAGGATGGGTTTTTGCGGCAGCCATGGCGGCGGCTGTCTTTGCTGGTTCACGTGAATATTTTGAATTGATTGGAAGTCAAGGAATTACGGAAGGAATGACACCTCCTCCGCTATACGTGTCACGAGTCTGCTCTGTCATTTGTGCCTTAATGCCACTATATGTCATGTAAGCTTAGTTAGCCAACCTTAATTTTTCCATGAATGCTTTCATCTCACAATCTCTACCATACTTTGCATTATTTTCCAATTGAATGCATCATGTGCATTTAACAATGAAATTTAGCAATGTTTGTTTTGCATTTTGAATGTAGTTTATTTTCTGGATTTTTTTCATATCATATATACTCTTTGTGGTGTATATCATAAACAATACTTGAAATAAAACTAAAAAATGGTAGAGGGAAGGATAAATAAACTTTCTTTGATTCTGTAAATGGTTCTTTTCTTTACTTCTTTTCCTTGATCTTGCAATTTCTTTCTAGTTCTTAGGCACGAGAAACAAATCTCTGTCTTTTTTTTGGTTTATGCATGAAGTTAAATTGATGAGAGTTACATGGACCATCTCTTTTGTAATCTTACACTTCAACATGTAGGGGTCAGGACTCAGGATACTATATATCAGTGATTAGTTAACTTTAGCCATGTAGAAGATAGCAATATCAGCAGTATCATCACCGCCCTTTCTTGTCATCTTCTTGATCTCCCTCACCCTTTCACAATTCTCTTCAATTATTTGTTCCTTCTTGGAAATCCACCTTGGTGGTAACATTAACCATATGCTTAAGTTAAACCCTTAGTGCTCTTCATACATTGCACACCTACATAACTACCCGTGCATGAAGGATTTTGGCTACTGTTGTTGGGGAGAAGGCAAAGATGGGTTTACACCCTTTCAAGTGAATCAGATCACGCTTCATGAAGCACATGTGCTGTAAAATTTTGTCATCTCTAACAGAAAATTTAATGATTTCAGTATGTCAAGGGGGATTATCTGTAAAATAAATTGTTTATTTACCAAATGTAGAAATGTCCTAAACTTCTGGTGTAATCTATGTTTTCCCTTACTTATAAGGTTTCTTTGCTTTTATCTGTATCTCGAGAAAGCTTGTGCAGAGAGCATCTTAAAGACTTTTACATCCATTTCTTTGCTTGCTGATTTATCAGTATCTATTTCTGACTCATGTCAGGTATCGTGGTCATATTGATGTTTCTGTGACTTCTGCTGCTTTCGTTTTGGCCATAACATTACTCGTGCAAAGAGGAAATGCCCGTTTTGCACAGCTAAGCAGTGCCATCTTTGGACTATTCTATTGTGGATATCTTCCAAGTTTTTGGGTTAAGCTTCGTTGTGGTTTAGCAGCTCCGGCCTTGAACACAAGTAAGTATTTCTCTATTGGCAATAAAAAATTACCAATCTCATCAGCTCTACATCTCATTATTAGTTTATATCTTTGTAGAAACAGTTGTTTCAGACACTGACCTTAGCTTCATAATATTTTTCGTAAAATTGTAATTAATCAGTATGCTATCTGTAGCATCTTTAAATAAATTTTTACCATACAATAATCTGATGTGTAGAAATTAGAGCATTTGTAATATGGCTATTTGCTAACTTCTGCATATTTTTATAAGCTGTTTTACCTTTTACTATGTAGCTTGAATTAGGAATTATATGTCCTTAAATAGATTATTGTTTTGTAGGATTAGGAACAGCATGGCCTTTACTTCTCGGTGGTCAAGCTCATTGGACAGTAGGTCTTGTAGCAACTTTGATTTCCATAAGCAGCATTATTGCAGCTGATACATTTGCATTCATTGGTGGCAAGGTATACAAATTAGTATTGTTTTGTAGCAAAATCGGTCTTAAATGGTCCCTATGAGTTTTTCATGATATCAATTATTATTTTCTTTGATTTCACACTCAGATAGCTTGTTTTTTTATTGATCTTAAAAAATACATGCTTAATTAATCTACTCTTCAACTGTGAAATATCTTTTTGTATCTTCATGCAGGCATTTGGAAGAACGCCACTTACTAGTATAAGTCCAAAGAAGACATGGGAGGGTACTATTGTAGGATTTTGTGGTTGTATAGCTACTTCCCTTGTCCTTTCAAAAGTATTCAGCTGGCCAGCATCACCAGTAAGGTACACTTATCCGTCCTTGAAGTTAAAGAAGTTCTGTTTAAGATGAACATTCATACATTTTCCATGTAACTTATCCTGTGAACAGTTAACACTTGTATTAACTTGTGGATTTTGTCAGCGCAATCGCACTTGGCATTCTGACTTTCCTTGGGTCAGTTTTTGGCGATCTCACAGAATCAATGATTAAACGTGATGCTGGGGTGAAAGACTCTGGCTCCCTAATACCTGGACATGGTAATTACTCTTTACTACTAAATATTTCTGTTAGAGATGCATTATTTATTTTCCTTGATTATAAGAAGAAAATTTACAAGTGAGTTAAGAGAAATACATGAAGATCCTTCTAATATTGTTCATCTCTAGATTGTTAGTATTTGGTTAATCAGTAATTACACGGGTCATTTGGACGTTTAAGGATGAACCACACATGTTCAATTTTCACCTCATTTTGTTCTCCACCAAAAAAATATTTGAAGATTAAACACATTTTATTGATTTCATCTAATGCAGGCGGAGTACTCGACAGAGCGGATAGTTATGTTTTCACGGGTGCGCTTGCATACTCTTTTGTCAAAACCTTTCTTCCGCTTTACGGAGTATGACATGTAATTGAGGTCAGTGTTTCTTCAAGTTAGTTTATATGATCATTGATAAGTAGTAACTAGCAAAATAGTTAGATTGTATCTTAATGGCATTACACTGACAATGTTGTTATGTTTTTATTGACAGTAAATCGAGTGTAAATATTTATGGAAACGCGCGGATATTTGATCTGGGATCAGAAGACAACAATAATCTTGTTGAGTGAACCAGATATATTTTTGTGATGATCATCACTTTATTCATCATAAAGGAACAACAAGAAAATTCAGTTAGGTCTAGGGTTTAGGTATGAATTTCAAATTCAACAGAATCTAACACGATTTTCTTGATTTTGAAGAAATTAATTCTTTTTTTTTCCTCCATGGTTTTAACTTTTAATAACAATAGAAATTAATAAAAACTTGTGTTTTTTTTTTTAATTTTTAATTTTTATAGTTTTGTCAGAATTTTTGTATGAACGGTAATTTGTGTAGTTTATATGATTTACGAACACTTCATTTATTGTCACGGTTAGAGGTCTCGTTTACACCAATGGATTGGTTTGGATAAACCTATGAATTTATGGGTTTGGTAGTGGATTGCTTAATTGGTTTGGATAAACCTATTAATTTTTGGGTTTGGTAGTGGATTGCTTAAATAACGAGTTAAAAATTAGATAACTTTTGCTATTTTTTAATATTTAACTTTATTTCAGAGTTCATTTTAATTCCAAAAACTTCTTAAATTTTGCCTTCAGCAAGAATCAAACCCATGCCTATTTAGTTGCTTGGGAAAATAGTGTACCACAAGATCGCATCGCATCTTTTTATTTGTTTTACAAATCAAATATATATTAACAAATTCAATCTTTCACTTATTATGAGTATAAATTTTACTTAATTCGATATTGCTTTAATCATGCAGAAATCTATTATACAAGCCCATTGACTAAAAATGCGAGTAGCTTTATGAATTTTGTCAGGAGAATTTCTTATTACGTCTTATACGTTTTTAGTGTATTAGATTTTTAATTATGTCATTCAGTTTTGGAGATATATCTCCGGACACACCTTTTATATATCCAACTAAGGCAATTTTGGGATACGTCTAATAGATTTGTTTTATTTTTATTCCAAAGATATATTTCTGGAATAGTTTCTGTTATTTTGTAAGTCAAATATTTTCGGAGATGCATTTTCAGAAATATATGATATAGTTTTCAGTTGCATGATCAGTCCCTCATTGTTGCCATACATCATTTTCAACTAAAACCCTTATCCTAAAAACCCTCAATTATCAATCCAAATTTTCACTCTAAATCTCCACTTTTTTGTTTCAACATATCACAAGGAGTAAAAGAAAATTGAATTTCAGATAAATATTGGTGTTTATCATTTACATTGCTCACATTAATCATCATGTTTGGCTGAAAAAACTTACCCAGTGTCCGGAGATGTATCTCTGAAATGTGTCTGCGTTTGAACTTTTTCGGAGATACATATCTAGAATATATCAGTGTTCATTTTTTACCCCTTCTGCAGTAGTAGATTAATTAATGTTCTGCTTTTTTTAATTGTTTCCAATAAATATGGTGCACCCCAACGTTTTTCCAAAACTATTAGTTTCTCCAAATGATGTTTCTACGAATGTTCAAGGAGTTGTTGTGAAGGCGGTAGATGTTGACAACGACTTTAATAACAAATAAGAGTTTGAAAAGCGTGATAGAATGCTTGAATGAATTCGTATGGAGGCATATAGACTTGAATTTGGCATGGTAATCAGAAGGTTCGATAATGGCTCGGATAGAAGATGCGTCTTTGTGACAATGTTGTGCGAAAGAAGCGGGAGATATCGAACTCCTCTCCGGAAACTTAAAAGAGATGACACGAATAGTAGAAAATGTGAGTGTTTGTTTAAGGTTCGTGGTTACATGTTGGCAAACAAAAATTGGAGATTTAATGTGATATGTGTGGTTTGCATAACCATGATTTGTGTTTGAAATTAGTCGGTCATCCTAATGTATGTCGGCTCAAGCCGAAAGAGAAGGAATGCATTAGTGACATGACCTTGAAACTTATTCAACCAAAAAATATACTTGCAGCATTGAAACGGAAGCAACCCGACAATATAGCAAATATCAAGCAAGTGTATAACATTTGGTACCTCGTTAACAAGACGATTAGGGAGGATAGAAGTGAGATGCAATAACTTTTGAAACTGTTGGACGATAATAGTTAAGTGTCCAGGTACAAAATGTGAGATAACAAAGTTACTGTTAGAGATATTTTTTGGGCTCATTCTGATTCGATGAAGTTGTTCAACACATTTTCGACAGTGCTCATACTTGATTCAACCTATAAGACCAACAAATATAGAGTTTCGTTATTTGAGATGGTTGATGTTACCTTAACTGAGAAGACATATTCTGTTGGTTTTGTATTTCTTGAGTGTGAAAAAAAGGACAATTTTACTTGGGCATTACAGGTGTGTTGGTCACTTTTGAAAGATCAAGGCGAGATGCCTAAACTAATCGTTATCGACTGCGATACTGCATTGATGAACTCGGTTGCTAAGGTATTTCCTTCTTCTTATGCATTACTTTGTAAGTATCACATTATAAAGAATGTGAGAAGTCGGGTAAAAACCGCAGTAGGGACGAAACCAATAGAGTCTGAAGGTGGAAAATTAGTGAAGGCGGGTGTGATTGTGGAAAAAATAATGGATGCATGGAATCGTATAGTAAATTCTTCCACAAAAGAATGATATATCGATTCCGTTATGCATTTTCAAAAAGTGTGTGAAAAGTATTCTGCTTTGTTGAAATATGTTGAAAGCACCATTCTTGATCAGGTGAAGGAGAAAATAGTGTGCACATGGACTGATAATGTTAGACACCTTGGGAATACAACTACTAACAAAGTTGAGTCAGCCCATGATACTTTGAAAAATTGGTTGGGAAATAGCAAACGGAATTTGTGTCGAGACTGGGACTCCGTGAACCACATGATTTAGAGCCAACATAATGAGATACAAACAACATTTAGTCAGAGCATTACGATTATGAAGCATTGATTTAAAGACAACACTTTATATTCTCAGTTGGACGATATAAGAGAGATTTTCAAAGGCCGATGACATCATGAAACTACCCATCAAAGAACAATTGAGGAAGATTTCCTATCCCGAAACCACTGACTTGAAACCACATTCTCAACTAGTAAAAACAAAAGGTGCTCCGAACAAAATGAAGCTTGCAGCGAATGACAAATCGACTACACGACCTTCTTCATACTTTGAGCACGTTGACAAATTATTTCTTGACTCACCGATTCCAAAATCTCAAAAAAGTGTTGTGAAAGGAGTCTGCATTAGCAAACCACCTCGGACGCCGCTTCCACCGAAGATTCCATTCATCGATAAGATGCCGAATTTTATGTTCAAATATATCGAGTGGATCGTCAATGTTGTGGGGGATGGTAATTGCAGTTACCAAGCCGTTTCGGCTTTACTCGGTAAAGGAGAAGATAGTCATGCACTTGTCTGTCATCAACTTATCCAAGAGTTGAATACACATAAAGAATTATACATACGATTGAACGAAAATAAAGAAAAATTCAATGCAGTTTATGAGTTTCTTGTTCCTTTCTTGAACGGCCCGGAACCAGAGTCAAAAGGGATGAGCTTCCTGGATATGGGTCACCTAATTGCATATGCATATGATAGGGTGTGCATTGACCTGATACGCTACGATTTTTTGGAAATCTTTTTCCCACTGTGCACCGCACCATACAAAAATACAAATGATTGTATAATGTGTATTACATGGCTTTCAAAATCAAGTCATTTTGTTCAAGTTTACTTGAAACCGGGTTGCCTCATACCACCTACATCATCAGAGTGGATGACTCATTCAACCGTAAAAGCCGAGACGTGGTCGAATCATTTCATAGAAAGGATGCAAGAATTTGAGAGATTTAACAACATTGAAAAAGAATCGAATGCACAAAAGTCCAAGGGGGTACCACTTATAGATTTAGCCGGCGACACTTGTTTCAATTTGTTTTGATTTTTTGTTTAACGAGACAAATATTTGTATAAATTTGTATCTCAATATAAATGAAGTGTTACATATTCACTTTTTTCTTCAAATTTGGAATTTATGCATATTTGTTTCATTTTTGATCTAAATGTGAGTGTCTGTTATATGATTCTGTTATGGAAATGTTTCAGGGAAAGTTCCAGAGATACATCTCCGGAAGGTTATTTTAATTGCTTTGTTTTGAAATGGTTCAGGAAAAGTTGCGGAGATGCATCTCCAAAACAAGATAATAGGGTGCGTTTCCAGAGAAACATATTCAGAGTCAATATCACAGTGATTGAATGGTTCATATTAAACTAGGTCTTCTATAAGTTTAGGTGTTTTTATGTTATATTTCACACAAACTCAAAATGTCTCAAATGTCACAAATAAACATCTGCTGGTATGTCGCAAATGTCTCCTACTCCGGTGGCTCTACACCCGACCGATCGTTCAAGCTCACCGATCTCACCCCCTCGAAGATATCATAGACGAAATCCATTATCTCTTACCTTACGGAGACAAATGAAGGGTTATGAAGTTTGAGTACCATTTAACTTCTGTTAACAACGAAGGGAACACCGTGTTTAACAAATTTGAGCTCAAGAATCGAGCGGAAGTTATGTGAAATACGTATTTCGGTTTCGAAGAGAAAGTTTCACTCGAGTTGGAAGTGACGCTACAAAGATTGGTCGAAGATATCCTGAAGATGTGCAAATGTACACCAGAATATTGAAATGTAATATTTAATTTTCTGTTGAAATCATAATTGTAGTGATCATTTTATGTTATGAATATCAATTGCATTTTAGAAAGTCTGCTTACTGTAAGTGTTTCTGATTTCTTCCGAAAATGTAAATTACGGGCTATTTCCGGAGATGTATCTCCTGAACAAATTAAATCAAACATATAGGAAATTTCTCAGAATTGCCTTTGTTGAGTGAACAAAAAATGCATTTGGAGATATATCTCCGAAACTTAAAAGCATTAATGAAATTCTTCACAGTGCGGTAGAAACTTATAGGGTGCAAAAAGAAAATTCTCTTTTGTCTGAGTAGCATTATGAATTTTGTCTGAAACATGTTATGCCTTTGAATTTCCATGATAAATTTCTAACTTCTTTCTGTTCTTGATATAGAGTTGTCTTAATGGATTTCATTATTATGTCATCATTTTAAATGATTTCAAATTTAAGTATATTTGACATTCAAATAAGTATTTTAATAAGCCACAACATTCTAAAATTCAGTAGGATTTAATAAGTGAGATAAAATAAACAAATCATTGATTTATTTGTTTGCTCAATATATCACCTAAGCTATGATACAAAATTGTAATCATGCTATTCTTATTTACACAAGAATATTAGATGTAGCAGTATGTTGTTAAAGTTTATACTTGCTAAACATAGTGTTATGTAACTAGTGTTATGACTTATGAATTTATTAAAATAAAAGTGTGCAAATAGGAGTTACTAGAACAAAGTGAATACATAAGATTTTTCACTATAAATTGATCTACATAATAATATTGCATAATGTGCTTTGTAAAATTCTTGAATTTGGTTACAAGCATTACAATGATAGTATCATTAAATTGAATTTCACTAAATTGGAAAGTCAACTTAGAATGTATGAACTCGGAAGGAATATAAATTGAAAAGTGATGAAAATATTAAGAAAGTGGTTGTACCTTCGTGTTGGTGACAAAATTCATACCTCTACTCACATTTTTAGTACAATAGGCTTGTATAATAGATCTTTGCATCTGTCAAAATCAATAAGTATAATTTGATAACTTTCATGTTTCCTTAGCACCACGCAAAAAATATTAATATATCATCACTTTTTGGAGATACATCTTCAGACGCACTTTAATATACACATTTCAATTGTTTTTGAATCACATTCTAAATTTATGAATAAATTTATTCTAAGAACCTTCTATATAAGGAAATAAACAAACCCCACCGAGTCTCATGGACTTTGCATTGCTGAGTTACTCCTTTTAGCCCTTGCATTGCTTAGAGTCGGCCTTAAAGTTACCCAAGACCAAGTCTCATGGACTTTGCTACGTTGCACAACCCTAATTACTTGCTACACCTCCCCTGACTGGAAATCCCAACAAGGCCATAGCTGATCTTGGGCCTGCTCCCCAATTGATGTATACACTATGCCTCCAACGCTGCATCCCATTTACCTCTCCTTTTTTTCCCTTTATTTTGTTGCTTTTAACATTAGTTTTATTATTAATAGCTTTCTTTTAAATAATCTTTATTTTTCTTTGAATGAAATATCACTTAGATAATAAGGTGTTTTTTCATTTAATTCATTTAGAAAATCATAATAATACACTTTTAGTTAGAATTGATCATTAGTTGTTTTAAGATTAATTTCCATCAAATTATTGAACATTTTAGATTAGGCTTTAGAAGGATACTTGAGGATCCTTAGGTTTTTAGTATTAAAAATTTAGATGTTTGATTCACACTCCGATACTACTTTTAATTGACTGACTGATCAAAGTCGCCTTTGATCAAATAGTCCATTCAATCATTGGCAAGTGATCAGAAGCTTCTTGGTCACATGATATGACATACCCTCTGTACAAGCACTAGTCTGACAACTCAAGACAAAATCATACTCCAGTCACACTCAAGTTAAACGCAAGCTCAAGGCATCATACAAGACTATGAAGACTGTGAACATCAAACACAACAAAAAAGACTCTTCAACACTTATTAGTTACGATGTGAATTGTACGCACTAGCCTTAAGTAGTGTAGAAGACATGAGAGTGAGAATTCCTATCCTCATTCTGAATATCTTTGGTTATGGGACAAATGATCATGTTGTTTAAAGTATTCACCTCAATTCATAGACTTTAGTTCAATTTGAATTAAATAATTGACAACTCTTCTTCCCCACACATAACACTACAATGATCAACGTCAATGAAACTCGTCTCTGCATCACACTTCCCGGTTTAAACACCACCCACACTCCTTTCAATTGGTTTAAACACAACTTTCCTTGGTTTAAACACCACTTTCTTTCTTTCCTTGGTTTAAACACCGCTTGCTTGCTTTATTTGGTTTAAACACCACACCATTAGTTTAAACACCACTTTTA